TGATCATAGCCACGCTGTGGTGCATTCTGCCGAAAAGAAGGCCTATATTTCGAAACAGATGATCCGGCCTGGAGGCTTTCATTTCTGTTCTCATTTTGTCCCTCATCATCGTGCTGAGCTGTCAGCCCCTGTGATGGAGGCAGCCTGTGGTACAAAGGCAGCTGCAATGGCTGCACCAGAGCACATGGAACTTGACAGTTCTTAATTGGAGTGCACAGGGAGGTACTCTCTCAAACTACAGCAGCACTCTCCTGGGTGCTTAGGGAGCAGACTGACAGACCAGCACGTGGCATTATTTCCAATGTCATATTAACAGCAAGGAATCAAGATCACAGGCAGCTAACAGAGGGCAAACCATGGGCCACAGGCCATGCAAGACTCTTCAACATATTGCCAAACTATGCCAAAAACAACACATTCATTTTGATAATGCTAGGGAGAGTTCTGGGGAATATCACCTGTATGATATAACTATATAAAATGAGATGTTTATGGCTTTTCAATTTCCTGTTACAGACGTTATATGGGAGGAGCACTATGAGACTCTGAGACTGCTTCAGGGCAACAAGTCCAGGCTTTCAGAGTGGAGGTTTTGAAGATGGAATTTTTATATCATGGAGTTTCTGAATAGGAAAAGGGCAAAGTGAAAAAACAGCACAACATTATAATGAAAACCAGGAAGCAGGGACTTGACATGAGCTATGATATGTCCTGTGTTTGAAGAGTAACCCAAGAACGTTAACAAGCCTCCATGCTTGAGCCTGGGGATCAAGGGGTTGGAAATGGAAGCAGGGGCAATGCTTTCCAGCTCATGGCAGCCACAAGCAAACAGGTGCGAGCAGACATCTAGATCAGAAGCAGCTAGTGGCAGCACAATCTGATCTCCTGTGTCCCGTGCCAATCCACGGCCCCCTCTTTTTCAATCCGGACTGCACGCTGGACTGACCCTGCTTTGCACTGCATTTACCTGCACGCCCTGAACCCCCTCCCTGCCCCCGCGCCCCAGTCCTGCCCATCTCAATTCCGTCAGCCTGAAAACCTCAAAGTTTTGAAGGTTGCATCCCAAATTTATACCATCCACTGTGCTCGATCTTGCAATATCGGCTTCAATAACAGGCTTGTGGTTTGCTCAGCAAGACGGATCATTCAAAGAGGCAAAACAAAATGACGTCTGTTTTTCATTACTTTGAAAGACGCTGAACATCTAGCAATCAGCAAACAGAATTACGCATGACAACAAACATCAAATGTACATTATTATGAACTGGTGGTAAGACTGCAGCCAGCCAGCTTTGGTCAGGTTTATGAAAATAAACAGACTCAACTGCAGACTATGTAATGAGAATTTGCTACATTTGGTGGTTGCCCACAGCAAAGTTCCCATCTGTTTTATATTAGGTCTAAAGTCAACAGTTTTAGTAATACTATAATCATTGTGCCACACTGACACCTCATGGCTGGAGATTAAAATCGCACTGCTCCAAGCTGGGAAGAACCTGACTCCATAGAACAGACTCCCTAGGCTCCACTAGGAAAGAGGAAAGCACTCTAATCTCTGCACGAAGGGTGACCACACTACCAATATGACCACAGATGTCTGAGTGCTCACGAACTGGAGTATCAGCATGAGCTTAGAACAGATTTCTGGTCTTTTCCTAAGAACTCAGAACTGCTCTGTGATTATATGTCATTTGAGCAACAAAAGATGAAAATACTAAGTACAAAACAAAAACCGTAACTGTGTGCAGTGTGGGGCTGTTTCCTGACCATGCAGCTGCTAGTCTGCGTTTTTAACTGCCAGTTTGGAAAGGTTCTGTATATCGAGGGAGGAGAGCAGGCCAAAATGGCTTTGGAGCAACTGGACAGGAAAACCTTTCTAAGATTGTTTTTCTGTGGGACGGAACTATTTTTTTCACTAGAGTTATTTACTTTAGGCAGAGTAATCTCTGCCTGGAAAGAGCCACCTGTTCTGGAGTTTTCTTTTTTCGTTTTCATTTCTTTTGAAGTGCACGGCATTTCCTATATTGAAATATCAAAAGGGGGGGGACAAAGTTGAAACAGTTGCCCTGAGACGCAGTGGAGCTTTTGGCAGGGAAGCGGGAAGGGAAAAAAACCCTGAAAAGAAATTTATGTGAAACATCTGCAAAGCAGCCATATAGAGTAAAAATATCTACGACAACTTGAGCCTGTCTGTGAGCCCGGGAGCTTGTGATTGTGTGGAGAATGACTTCCTGTCCTGCCCTTCGCACACAGCATGGGCGAGGAGGGCATGGCCGCGTCACTGCCAGCGTCGAAGCACACGCCCCTTTCCCCTGACAGCCCCTGGGGTGCCCGCTGCGCCCCCTCACTCCCTGGCGATGGAGGGCAGCCTCAGCTCCCAGATAAAGACACAGAGGGGGCTTTAGTACAGCACGGATCTTTCTGTCTCAAACTATTTTATTCCTTTTGCTGCCCAAAGGACACGCATCACTGCTTTCTTTCATGTGCACAAGCTTCATAAGCATAATGCTTCAGCTTATCGCAGTCCCCGTTAAGCAAATAGAGTCCATCTGGACGGAAGGCAATAGGCCATTTCCGGCTATACCCTCTAGTGAATATAGCTGCTATTGGGCAATTGGAGCAAAACACAGGGCTTTGCTCAAGAACGGTGTCTCCAATAGCCAACACCCCCTCTGGGTCATGGGCCTATAGCATTATACAATACTACCTCCTGTATGCCCTAATGAACTCTAGGAATGAAGGCCTGTTGTGGATTAGCATGCTATAGAACAGAAAAATGTGTATTTCTGTTGTGGATAATGACGCTTAGTGATAAGTGGCTTGTGAGAAAACTAAAGAAACACCAGAACAAAATCACTTAAAAGTGAAACTGGCAGGAAAAACAACAACTTGGGGCAGAGGATTGTCTGAGCACCCAAGATCACCTCCATTTTGGTCAGTGAAAAATAACCAAAAGGACCATTTTGGCTCATATTAAGATCTTGGTCTTGCTTGAAGGATGGTTCCACTGCAGGTACTGTAGAGTTGGGATCAGGCAATGAACAAATGTGTTTTGTGACATTGTATTTTCTTGTGTTCTGTGTGTATCTTTAAATTAAAATTTTGAAAATGAAAATGCCATGGAGCTACTTAAATTGATCAGATGCAATTTCAATGTAATATATGTTTTTCAATTCTGTTTGAGCTTACTGATGCAAGACCAGTTTTCCCACACAGAACCACAAAGGCCACTGACTCCCAACTCCACATGTTTCCCCAAATACATAATAATAGTTATCAAGATTGCTAAAACAGATTTCACCATTTAAGCTAGCTCTGTATAATTGGTGTGGAACATCTTCTGAGACAGCAGTTCAATTCATCAAACTAAATTATTAACTAATGGGCATTAAAGGTTAACAGTATTACCATATGTAAATATACTGCTTGCAATGTCATTGAAATACAATTATTTTATTCAGTTTTCCTCTTTTAAAAGACAAGCTTTGGGTGTGAGATAACAGAGGAATTTTGCCCATGTTTGCTGCACCACAGTTAGTAAAGACTGAGTTAGAAACATAACCATATTCCTAGTACAATCCTTTTTTACAGATTGTCTCATAACTTCCCTAAATATGACATTAAAGCAAATGCAAATTGTGTAATATTTCCTACTTGGCGCTGTCTTGACTGTAATTGTGCATGTCTAGTGTTGGTAGAAGCCTTGTTCTCAGAACGATTTGGATCATATCTATTATTCCTCTGCCAAGTCATTATTGTGGCAGGATTATTCCCCCCATATTTTCCCTATGATATGTGATTGTGTTAAGCGAATTTGGCAAGCCACATTTTTCCTGTTGCCGTTGAGTGCAAAACAATGCCCAGGACTGGAAAAAAAATAGGATTTTAATGTCCATTGATCTGATTATTGGCATCCCACATGGATAGCTCTAGATCCCTTTATAGCAATTCCTGGTAGTGTAGTGTGGAAATGCAAAAACAATGTTTTACAATGATAACGGAGATGAAAGGTTCCATCAAGAAAGAACAGCTTATTCTTGTGATGAACAACTAATAGTACCTTTGCCATTCATGATTCTGTCCCACACCCAGACTGGAGTGTAACTGCATTCTAAGCAATCGGGAGGCAAAACATTTCTTACCAAAAAGCTCCCTGTCCTTTTCTCTGTTTTGTCTGTCAAGTTAAGCACGTTATTAAAATCCCAAGATTCTGGCCCAGGTGCCTGTGGAGTTTGCATGTTCTTTGCATGGATTTCAGGGTTTCTTCCACTGGGTGTCTCAATTATTCCTCATAATAACATTGCATATAATAATTTCTCCACTTCCTCCAGGGACCTCACAAACACGCTCAACCCTCTGCCACCTGGGAGGAGGAATGCACCCCAGTGAAACCAGTGAAACAGCACCCCCAGGCTAATGTCTTGACTCTGAAAGTGATCTCCTTGCCCGATATTGAAAATCTGATGAGATTTGTCCCTTGAGAGCAGAAAGGTGGGGAGTGGATGTGTTGGTAGAATGGCAAAGAGAAACCTTGAGCTCCAGACCACAACAATGTGTTCTGCAAATGCACAAGAGTACTTTAGATGAAGGTTAAACAGCCCGATCAATGTTAGCTCTGGAAAACTACTCTACACTCTTCTGATGAATTAATGTTTGCTCAGTGTGGACAGAGCACTTTTACTGGGGGGGGCTAAACCAATACTTTTAACTGTTCAAACAGCCCACCTGCACAGGTAAACAACTGTGACACTGTTAATGTTCTCTCTAGGACATTAAGTCCTGTCAATAGCTGCCCAGTATTTGCTTTTGGCTGCAAAGGAATATTCTGTGATACTTAAACAATCAAGGGCTTTCAGGGAGCACTCTGCTCCAGTACTGTTGATCATGACCTCCTAAACTTTCAAATGAGAGTGCCAAGACCTCCTGTATGGCACCTTGTCTCAGTCTCCACACTGACAGGCCACACTGACATTGCTTTGATTTTAACACAAACAATGATATACAGCGCAGTTGTTTATTATTACAATATGCCCTTGCAATATAGAAAATGTACATTACGCACAAGGATTAATCCTCTAGGTCGAGGAAGTTAGAGACTAATAATGGGATAAAAAGGCAAGCACAAACTGGAAGAGCAACACAAGTGCCACTCGAAATGAAACAAAGTACCAAAACAGATTGCATAGATACGGAGCAGTAATATAAACACTGTTTCGGTATGTATTCCATGTTTACAGAAAGAGCAATCAGCATGTTCCATTACCAGTCTGAGAATAAAAAACATGAGGGCAACACTATGTCAGAGATACTGAGGGATGTAGTTGAGAGCGAAGAGGTCACAGACACTGTCCAAACAGACGAGTCCTGAGCAGGTGCCGCATGGGGGTCCCAGTCTGGGGGGTAAGAGCAATAAGAGACTGAAAGCAAGCAGAGTGGCTGAGACAACCAGGCAGGAACACAGGGTTTGAATCAACAAGTGCAAAAATATAAAGCCTGTGGAGGCAAAGCGGACCTTGGCATAATAAAGCAAGGAAGGCAAGCACAAGAATTCTGAGATTCCAACAGAACTCCCCCCTTATAAAGTGAAAAAGTCTTCTGCTTTCATTTTCAAAACCTCACAACAGTTCTCAAGTTCAGTTCTCAAGATTTTCTGTATGTAAGGTAGAATCAGGCAGAAACAGGTCAGGGATATTTCTTTGAACAAAATCTCCAAAAGGCTGAGAAAACAGCTCCGGTGAAATCCGCAAACCACATAACGTACAACCCTCCTGCGGTCATACACACATTCTCACTCAATTACATTTGAGAATTATTTGCCCGTTGCTTTTCAGAGCCTGGCCTCCGTCTGCTCTTGAGTGACATTAAGCTGGATTTGCTGTATTATTTACCTACATCAGTAAATACTGTATCATAATCCTACTGGATTTTCCTCTCTAAGCTTTATATTTATAAAACCCCGCTTTTTTAGCAAATTGAGTATCCCTTTAGCAAAAAAAAAGTCCTCCCTCCTGGGATCAGAGGGTTGGGGGGAGTTCGTCAATCCGAGAAGGGTGGGAAAAGATGATGTCTTCGTCTTTCAACTACAAAAAGCACTACAGAGGCCTCTGGGGGGGGGGGGGTGGTATTTTAACAGGTTAGTGCAACTTCAAGCTACACAAGCTCACTCTAGGAAACGGGAAGCCAGCCGACTTCACATTGCACTGAAACCTCATTGTGTACTTAAATGCTGAAGGCTGAGCAAACACTCTCTGTTTAATTAAGGCAGGGGGTGAGAAGAGGGAAACAGAAAAAAAAGGAGTTGCCCAGTTTATTTTCTACCACAATGGTGCAATAGAATGCCTGTCAAGTACAGTGCTAGTGTTATGTACACAGTCTGTAACTCCTAACTCTCACATCTTACCTATCTACAAAGCCCATCTCTTGTACGCAGGGAGATTTTTTTAAGTGTAGCACAAAGGGCAAAACTGTAATTAACAACTTGTACAAAGCAACCTGGCAAGCCTGTTGGTAAGCCAGTTCAAAGCAAACACTGTTTTCTGTAAATGGCTTTTGATGGTGGAACACGAGGTAACAGGACAGAGCGAAGGGCAGAAGGCAGGACTGTCACAGGCCCGCTGGGAGCAGCGCCTGTGGCTAACAGGAAAGTGGCACAGCACTGAAATAACAGCGCTGGCCTGTGCATGTGCAGCAGCCTTCCTGTGCACCTGTGCAGGGAGCCCCGCTGACAGCTTGAGCTCCACACACTAGCGCTGCTCTTTATGGAGCTTCATGGAGCTCTGGAAGACAGGAAGGGTCATTCAAATGAATGTGTTTACTTGCTCCCAAGTCCTTCTACAAACCCAAACCCTGGAGCAAAGGAAATAGGACACCACTCCTAAAGGAATGCTTGGACAAGCACGGTTCTTCAACATAGACTGAAAACATTTTATGCGCTGGTGAGCCTCTTAACTGCAAGACTTACTTTCTCAGTGCTGGGAGGGTCTGTGTGATACAGGTGCTGAGTGACAGTGGAATAGAGATGTTTTACTGCGTGTCTACATGAGGGGGGGCATTGTGTACTCATTTGCTACACCCTCCTGCCCCCTGCAATTTTCCTGAACTCTGACCTCAGCCCACAGCCCAGGTGCTCTAGACAAGGAGGTGTGAAAACACAATCACACAATGAGCAAAGCAGAAGGTTAGAGAACAACAGAGACAGATAAAGGGGTGAGAGAGACAGGTAACTTAAAGTGCAAAATGATGCAAAGTTTTGTGTCCATTTTTTTCACCCACTTTGTACAAATCGCATATAACTAGACAATTAGTTACCAGCAACTATATCCATGCGGGCTGAATGTTCTCTAATCATTTGTAACCTTCTTATGTAAATTAGAACACTGGATCAAAGCATAAAAACATGCACAAAGTTTGAAAAAGCACTTGATTATTTTATTTTTCTTTTAGTTAGGGAGCTGGACAGACACCGTCATCTAATTAATCCATCCATCCATATTGTCAACGCTTTATCCAATACAGGGGAGCCAGAATGTATCCTGGCTCAAGCAACAGGCACAAGGCAGGATACACCCTGGACAGGAGACCAGTCCATCACAGGACAGACAGACACAAACAAACACGCTTACACCAGGGACAATTTTTCCCCGAAGCCAATCAGCCTTCCACTACATCTTTGGACTCTTGCAGGAAAGCATAGCACCAGAAGAAACTCATACAGGCTCCACGCAGTCAGCAGCACAGGTCCGGCATTGAACCCTGGGCACCTACATTGGCCTATCTATGTTCAGATAGTTTGATGGGAATAAAATCCTAACAAGTCAATAGGTTTTCCCACAGAAACCTGTAGTTACACTGATGTGATTTAAAACTAAAAATGGGAGGCTCTTCTCTATGCAAAGAACTATGGAAATCTGGAACATGCAACCCAGTCATCTGGCTGAAGCTTATACCCATCTCCTTTCAATAAAAGGCTGGAAGAGCTTCTAGGATCAATTGGAGGCTAACTACCAAGTAGGCGAGTTGAGGAAAATAGCCTCCTCTTGTCTGTAACTGTTCTCACTTTCTTATATCACCTCCTCCTCCAGGCAGGCTAGGCTCCTGCAGGTACTTCTCATTTCTAGAAGATGTGTATATAATGGAGAGCCCTGCAACACAAAGAACCCTAATCCGATCTGTGACGGCCTGCAGTCAACACCGACACCAACATCCTGATCACCGGATACCTACAGTACGCTCCTGCCCACACCCATTCTGGAGTCTGGCTCTTCTTTGTGCTGTCTTTGGAGGGAGAATCTGTTGATCAGCTCTGTCACCCAGCCAAGGACTGCCAGGGGCAATTTCTCAAAAAAGGCTGCCGACCTCCCCTTGATTTCCTGCTGACAGACACAGGGCTCGTTCACACATGTTCTCCTTTTTCTTAAAAAAAAAAATACTTATTAATCTCACCCGCAGGTAAGAGGCATAAGCAAACAAGACAAGCAGGTTAAAATAGAAGCTGACCAAGCAATGTGAATAGCTGTGAGTGTGTTTTAGTATATAATTGTCCCTTGTGTTTTTTGTTTGCCCTACAAGAACAAGCCCTGGCAATGAAAGAAAGGAGGAGGGAAAAAAAACTATGTACATTGTGTAATTTGTTACTACATTTATCATTAAGGGTTGGTAAATGAAAAGGGACCAATAAAATACTATGTCCTAAAGCAAACAAAGAGGACAAACTGATAAGAAGGTATTTAAGCAGCCATTAGCTGTGTTTGATTAAAAGAGCTGTAGAAAGCTGCAGCACCATGTGATGTTTGTTCCTACAGAGCTTAACGGCTGCCTTGTTAGCTTGAGAACAAAGAGTTGGAGGGGAAGGTCAATATTTTCACAGGCAGCCTGGAAACACTGTACTAGGGGACTAGGGGCCTGCAGGGTTAACAGACAGCTGTTTTCCTGTGTGTTCTTTTGCAAAAAAAATGTGTAAAAGGTACAGGACAAACTATCTCAATAATTACACAATTTGTCATTTTCTCAAGCATTATCTAGATCACAGGGTGGTGCAGTAGTGCAGTGGTTAGCACTGCTGCTGCACAGCGCTGGGGCCCAGGGTTCAATGCCGGATCTGGGCTGCTGACTGCGTGGAGCCTGTATATTCTCCCTGTGTTTGCATGAGTTTCCTCTGGTGCTATGCTTTCCTGCCACAGTTCAGAGATGTATTGGAAGGCTGACTGGCATCTGGGAAAAATTGTGCCTGGTGCAAGTGTGTTTGTTTGTGTCTGTTTGCCCTGTGATGGACTGGTGTCCTGTCCAGGGTGTATCCTGCCTTACGTCCATTGCTTGCCAGGATACGTTCTGGCTCTCCTATACTGGATAAAGCAGTGACAAAATGGATGGATGGATAAATTAGATAACTGTGTCTGTCCAGCTCTTTAACTGAAGAAAAATAAAATAATTAAGTGTTTTTTTCAAATCATTGAACAGGAACCATGGTATGTCGTTTAGTCTCTATATCTAAGGTCAAGTCTTAGAGCAACAGTGCCACTTTGAAGATCTTGTAGCCACATAGTAGACAAATATGTGACCTGCTTTCCCTACATCAGGCTCTTTCCTGGTTAATGCTCTAAGCCTGACATTTACGTTCTAACAAATCTGTTCCTGCAATCATCCAGATTTCAGAAGACCATATAAACAAAAGAGACAAAGACAAAAATTTGGCTACAGATGCTTTAAAACTCTTTTCACTGCCTGTACATCAGACTAACAAATTAATCTCCATCAAGCTTGTGTTGGGAAGAGCAGCTCACGTACTAATTAAAGACAGCCCATTTCCCCATGCTCAGGCTGGAGAAAGCTTGGCAGTATGCATAGTCTTTTAAAGTTTAACTGTCAATATGCAACGGTGAAATGCTGTAAAAAGGGCAGCTCAGAGTCATGGTTCGGGATGTGTAGGTACAAAGTGGGACACTGTTGTACCCCTGTGCAAGGCACCTCCTTTCTGTGAACGGCTGCAGTCTTGCCCAGCAGGATAGCTGGGTCTCTGGGCCCTTATTACTAAGCAGGACTGAATGATCAGGTAAGTAAAATACAATAATATTTAATACAGAGAATGTGTATAAATCAATTTCTATAATACAGAGAACAAAACAATTTAAAAAAAATGTATACACAAAATGTGTAGTGTTTGCAGAGTCATGCGTTTCACAGATCCCTCCAGTACTTCACACACACCTCCAGTTCTACAGTAATGCTCCTTCATATTGAACAGGAAAAACTAGGCGAACCCAGGCCCACGCTCAACCTCCACTGGCTCCATTTCTGTGTTACAGACTTATTTTCCTTCTGTCGGTGTGTCTGTTGACGGAGCAAACAGCAACTCCCCAATTATTTACAGAGCTAATGTTGACACTTTGTCACAAACTATAAAGTCAACGTGATAAAAATTAATTACTGATCCGACTGGAAGTCATTTTCACAGGAGACTGAACTGGTAAGCAGCACATCGCCTATTAACTTATTTACTCTGCTCCATTTACGACACACTGATAATGCCCTGGTTAAAAAAGCAGCCTTTCCTTATCCAAGTGGAAGAGCCATTTTCACAAAATATTACGATCTCAGTCAAGTGTTTTCTCCGAAATCGCTCAGCGCGGCCGACTACATTGATACGCAGCAATATTCCCAACCACAGAAGATCAGGAGCGACGGCCACAGTTCCGGTGATTCAGCTATGCTGCTATTTGCAGAAGAACAGTCACTAAATGTCTATTTACCCAGGAAGGCTGGTTCAGACAGTATACGGGACGCCTGCCTCCCACATCTTAACAATAGGGGCTTCCACTGAGGATCAGTCGGGTTTCACCCAAATCGGCTACTCTTTCAGACTTATCATGATCTTCTTGAGTCTGTCCCGAACAGGTGGAGAGAGTTGATGGACCGTTTCCTCATGGGAGTTTGGTGAGGAATATTCACTGAAGCCGGGGACCCTTTCTAAAACCTCTCACTGAAAGAGTTGAGGCTGAGCACAATCCACTTGTCTCTTCCAGTTATAATAGTAAGTGTCCTGCAGAAAGAGTCAAAGCATTCAGCAAGGATGAGCTGAATTAGCTGAATAAGAGCTCAGGTCTTCGTATAGTAAACAGTATGTGCACATCATAATAATAATAATAATAATAATAATAATTGCTTACACTTACATAGCGCTTTTCTGGGCACTCCACTCAAAGCGCTTCACAGGTAATGGGGACTCCCCTCCACCACCACCAATATGCAGCCCCACCTGGATGATGCGACGGCAGCCATAGTGCACCAGAACGCTCATCACACATCAGCTATCAGTGGGGAGGAGAGCAGAGTAATGAAGCCAATTCACATACTAATGTTTAAAAGTACATGTGGCTTTTGGAATGGGAAAAAAATAAAATATTCCTATTTTTGTCTAACACGATCGAGCTTAAGATAAACAAACCAACTGCCTCTCTGTGAAACCACGAATCAGTAACTTCTGCTAAAGCGGTTTACATCAATAGGATTGTCTTACCAATGGCTGTAGAACACATTTGTACAAAAAAAAACAGCCCCTTTGTTTTGTAACCGTGATTTCCGTTCAGTGTTGACCTTTCATCCTTTTCTGCAGTGCACTGTCGCCACCTGCTGTCAGTATGTCGTAAGTACATTGAGAGGAGGCGTATCGCGTCATTCGCGGGCCACACTTTTCATTATTTAAATTGAGCGTTTTTCTTTATATGTATTTCACCAATCTGTGAATAAAAGTACTATTAGAATTTTTTTCATGCAATAAATCTAAATGCATTGTATATGTACTTTAATAATTCAAAACGTCAATTTCCGGAGGTATGATATCTGTTATCTGGGCAGTATGGTGGGCAGGTGTCTATGTAGTCCTGGTCTCTGAGGGACAGTTATTGATTTTCACCAAAGAGAACAGCGGTTTGCACAGGTAAGAGCCGTGGAAACACGGCTGGTAGGAGGCGGTAAAACTCGGCGGCACCAGTTGTACCTAGTTGATATTACTCTGCAACTCGATCAAGTCAGTTTGAATTTCCCCCTGGAAACTCAGTGGCTGTTTTTAAAAGCGGGCATTTTACGCAGCACTTTCAGTTTGCGGGTAATCCTGTGCGTGGGAAGGTTATTTGTGAGCGAGGTGAGGATGGCTTGGCATTCAGAGAAAAGCGAACAGCTCCTTCCACAAACACAATTTAGGTTGAAACGCTTTCGCTTCGTCATACATCCCTTAGGACTTGTTAGTGGCCTTGCAGTTTCCCGTTTACGTGTTGAGATACTCAGTTATAACTGGAGAATTTCAAACCCACACAGCTGTTACCAGAGGGCTCCGGTGCTTATGCATTCCAAATAGAAGTCTGTATTTAAAGAGATCTGTTTCTTCTCTTCGCTAAAGTAGCGCGCTTCGACTGCTACCGCCCCAGCGGCCAGCGAACCCGAGTACTTAAGACGAACCGCCGTATTCTGATCCCGAAGAAAACGTCCGTTGTTGGTCACAACACATTTTATTGACGCATTAAGGGCAGTCTGTGAGATCCACTGTCTCAGCCGCATTATTTCCCGGGAGAAGGCTGCCACATTTGGTAACATTAGCGTTTTCCCTGGACACGTTACTTTAATAAAGCGAACGGTTCTTTTTCAAACGTCGGCCTCGGAAAAAGGCCTTGACGTTCTGCAGTCACTTCAATCACGGTATAATTAAATTTACTGCAGCATCTCTATCGATTTTACACCTTGTAACACGTTTTGCTGTAATTCGGCTATTTTAAATAACCCCACATTTTGCGCCCTATTCTTCCTTATTTATACTCGTGTGTAGTCTCCTAATTTCATCACTGCTGAACTTCATACAAACGTTGCATATAGGCCATTTTCTCCGCCCAGAAAAAATAAACCCCACTTCTCAGTTTCTGAAACTTACTTTTGCTGAAAAGACCGTGATGCTTCGCGCTTCTTTCCGTTATGTTCGAACTGGCTTATGGGATTTTTAGTCTTAATACGTAATTTCCTTATGCCGCGGACCGATTTATTATAAATAATACATACCCAGGAGGTTGGATTAAAGTCAATGGAGGGTATATTCGTTTGCGGGCCTTGAGTTTGACGTCGGTTTTATAGACGTCAGTTCTCTGTCACCCAAAGAATCGCAATTTTAATACCTCTATGCGTTGTGACAGATTTACGTCTGGACCTACAGTACTAAAGATAGTAAATATGGCATGAAACCATAATTTACTTCATTAGAAAATGCACTCTATTCAGTTGGCAGAATTGTTTTTTTGTACTGTATTTTACAATATTCTGCATGAAGGAGACATTTCTATTCATTCGGCTGACACTTTCACCCAAAGCAATTTAGATACACAGCCTTAAACCTATACAGCTAAGCATTTTACAGCACTCAGAGAAGCTCAAGGGTACAAAAGCACATTGCAGTGTTCATTCTGCGATTTGTACCCACAGATTCAAGTCACAAACTCAAAGGCCTGAACAGTTTCAGAGCAGAAGGGTCTGCAAGCTGTTTTCAGGGCTACGACCTGACAGTCCTGAAAGTCACATAAGCAGAAGGTATGCATTTACTAATAAGGGTAGGAATTACAAATCATTTCCCTTCATTTAACCTACTTGTAGTTGAACTGGGGCATTTAATTTTATAAACTCATTTGCAAATAACCTACTCCTCAGAATACATTTGGGTTTATGTATTAGTCTCTACAGAAATCACCGTTCTCATCCCTCCTAAATTCTGATTGCTTTTTCCAACACCTGCAGCTAAGATCATAAATTCAAATTGTTAGTTGTGGTTATGCATCTCTCATGGCGAAGAAAAGCTCTCGCGTGAATCAAAAAAGTCAGCTCGTTAAGACAGTTGGCATATTTAGTTCAAGGCCAAGGGACAAACATCAGCACTGAATGTGAAGCCAAAGTGCAATAGATTCCTAAGCCAGGAATATGGTAAATAACTTTCTTAAAAACACGCTAACTCCTGCGCACCCATCAACAGGGTAAACAGTAACTTGCTTTTAACACATTTCTTCAGGAAAATAAATGAAATTCAGCAAGCTGGCTTAATTTTAAGGTCAACAGTTGGGAAAGGGAGAGAAAAACTCCTGCTCTAAAAAAAAACCCTATTCAGAGTTTTCCCAGAACATCAAGATGCACCACTGCCTAGGTGACAATTCAAGCATCTCTCACTTTCAAAGATCTTTAATGCACATTTACAACACATCAGTGGAATTTAACCAAAACCAAAGAGCAAGCAGAAAGCTTCAGTTCACAGGTTTTCCTCAGCAGGGTGACAAAACATACGATTTTGTTAGTGCTCGCTTCTGTTTGACTGCTTAGTTTGAGTTCACATTTCTCAGACTGTCAACAGAGACCAAAGAATGCAGAGCAAACACAAGGGCCCACATAAAATGCCAGTTTGTTAGCTGAGCAAACTGTGCTTTAGCACGTCTTAAAGGAAATCTTTCCAGCATAAACAGCACTGGCTTACTGTAGCTGAATAAATAAGGAGAAGAGAAATTGACAGACATGACCCCACATCCCACTGGAGTGACAGCTAAACCAGGAGCTGTCAAGAACTGCAGGAAACAAGACAAGGAAAGTGGATCGTGTCTGTCGCAGTGCCAGGAGCCGGGAAAGACTCCGCAGCAAAGAATTAATTTACTTGTTCTGGCAGAACAAGTCCCTGGCAAGTGCAGTGCAATTAACAGTGGTATATTAACACAGTGGAAAATGCCAAAGCCTTTTTACATAAAGCAGCTCATTTCCTGTGAACAAATGCTCCAGCATTCAAAAGTGCCATCTTAAGCAACAGAATTGCTAAATATAACAGGATTTAAACTCCCACAAAAAGTGAATTAAAGAGGTTATGAGGTTTCTTTTTTTTATATTGCTTCAAATAGTCTCTGGTTGAAAAAAAAGATTTGCAAAAACATACAGCAAAAGGTTAGTATTGCTCCACATGGTTACCCCACCCAAAGAATTTAATAACCACAGCTTTTTTGTTTTTGCTCAAAAGATGTTTATTTGCAGCAATTGGTGGGCTTGAAAACTGGGGGGAGGAATACACATTTAATCATTGTAGTGTCAAAATGAGCACAGATCTGGGGTTCACAGCTAGTCAGATTCTAAACCGTCTTCATTTCCACACCACTTATGATTGATGAGCAGGGCAGAGAAAATCGAACACGTGTTGATGCAGACAAACCTAAAGTGCTTTTTCAAAAAGCATAATAAATAGCAGCATCGTTAAAAAGGATAAATACTGTACTGAAAACAGTTAGACTAAAAAGAGAAAAAAGAAAAACAACCAGAAAATGAAGAACACTGGATATCACTCAAGTCCCCCAAAACTGAGGTCCTGAAAAATCCCAAACCAGTATGAACTGTTTCCAGCGCTATATAGTACAGCGATTTTTTTTTTTGCAATTATGCCTGCAGTAAAACAAAGTAACAGTTTTCCAACAAGGTATTGGAGGGATTTAATCTGACATCAGACAAATATACAGAGACAAGCTTCACCTTTTCTACAGATGTCATGCAGGCTGTGAACTATACAGCGTGATCTGCTTGCACAGGACTCATGATTTCTCGCGTTAAATCTCCAGCCTTGTTTTAAGCATTTAAAAAAATCACCCATGCTAAAGTTTTACATAAAATTAAATAAAAATATTGAATATATAAATCCTGATATATAAAAAGTAGTTGCATATAAAGTAGTTTACATTTTAAGGCGGGAGGGGTTGTGTTGGGTTTGAGCTGTTGCACAACAGCCTAGTCAGGGTAAAGTCACTCGGTTTAGTTGTGTCCCTTTGGAGGCTGCAGGAGGCTGTTTGAGATCAGGGCTTTCTGCGCCTGCAGAAAAAAAAGCATAAGGTAAGCACCACTGGCACTGCTGAAGGATTACATAACACGCAACAGAACACTCATTCATTTGCCTTTCAAGCCAAAGGAAAATAGACATAAGATGTCAGCTAACTGCTTAGCTAAAAATCAATTCATCCAATCTTTCAGGCACAATATGGCAATTAACCACTTTAGAATATTGCAGGTTTCTTTAAACGATCCGTCTATTTGATTAAAGATCATTGCTAACTACTTTTCAAAGACATTATGTGGTGCGGTAGCAATTTACACTGCACATCATTTTTAAAGTATTAACTCAGTTATCATCTTGGCAGTATTGTAACCACACTAGTAAGGATTCAGTGCATTCAAAAGTACTTTAAATGAAGTAAAAAAAAAAAGTCCACAAAGAAACCTACTTCTGTAGCCCATGATGCTGGTATCCGGGACCCAGGTTCGAGCCTGCCCTCATCTCAACTGCCACAGAACACTGCAAAAACAAAACGGCTTCAGCGGAGAGGTACGAAATTTAAACATATGCTTTTGTGTCCTTATTTATAGCAATTCTGCTTATGGAATGAACCAGCTTTGTTCATTCCCATCAGGGTGATGGGTGCAAGCCCAGGACTCACCCTGGTCTCCACATCTGTCCAGTCTCCCTCCATGGGCTCTCCCTGCGGCGGGCCATTGCCAGATGACCTTCTTTTACGGCTTCCCGGAGAGAGGAACAAGAACAGTCTCCTTCAGCATGTTTCTCTTATTACAACAAAACGGCGTGACTGCTTATTAATAAGAAGCTCTTTGCCAGTATTGATTTCCCATTTCTGAAAGTGTGAAGGGCATGGTGCCCTTTCTACCCCAGAGATGTGGGTTTGAATTTTTTTCCCTTTATGCTTAAAGCACCAACTAGTTTCACAGACGTATTAGGAGCAAAAGTTTGCACCACATTGCAGCGCTTTTGAAAGTTAATCTTGTAGTCGGAAATAAAGTTCATAAGACTTGAAACTGTACACTACGCGGGTCCTGTCCATCCACGTGAAACCCCACAGTTGGCGAGTGAGCTCTTGAATAGAGAAAGCCTTATCCCAGCCCTTTGACTTACAGACCACTGGGACATCAATAGGAGCAGAAAAATCATTCCCACACCACATTTTTACAGGGTGGAAGTGCCTCTGCACTGTGAGGGCGCCGTTCGGGCTTGGTGAACTTAGTTGGAGTAAACTCAGGACACCAACCTTTGAGCTGTAGGGGACTCCTGTTTCAGCGTTTCGATGTCTGTGAACTGGACAGCTTGGCCTCCACCTCTCGTTTTAAACACTTCACCCTGCTCAAAAAAAACCACCAGACTACACGGTTAACATGCATCTTAAAATACATCCATGATTCAACTGCACTTCTAGGAACAAAGAGAAAAATAAATGCAAAGTCCCCTTGATTGCAAAGAAAAATCCCAAACAGATCTCAGATATTCGCAGCACAAATGATTCTGCCATTAGACCACCGCGTTTAAGAAATAGCATTTCATTTGAAAAATATGTAAAGACTTTGCACGGGAGATTAAGAAACGCAACCTAAAATGAAAAGCTTGAACGTGAATTCTTCACAAAACTGAGAGTTTTAAGATCTCTTTACCTTAATGAGTTTGGTTTCTATCTCCCCATCAGATGCGATCTCCTGGTGCGTCAGCACGTATTTTTCACACTTTGACAAAGCTTTCTCGCTGGGAGCCGACACCTTGATTGCATTGGGTATGTTTGGCTGCATGACTGTATCCAGCTCCAAATTAGAGGCTGGTTTGTGATCTACCCATCTCTCCCCACCCGCTGAACGCGAGCGTCTGTGCCGGGGCCGAACCGGCGGCGCAGTCTATTTCAATTAAAACAGCAAAGCAAGAGAGATCAGTCAATGACAACAGGAGCCGCAGACCAAAAGAAGCATTTTCTAGGCCTGGATGAATTTTTGCATTGCTCAATTGGAGGTCAAGAGCCTGCAGGGAATGACCTGGGTGATTAAGCTTTTTGGAAGGGTTGGCATCACAAGCATCTCAGTTTCAGCCTGCAGAACATTTCAATCTGGAGAAAATGCCAACCACTTCCTCCCCGTTTCCTTTAGAGAAGTCCCAGCTGTCTAGCTTCACAAATCCTCAGTGTAAAAGCCTGAAAAATCTTAGCATTCACAGCAGACTCATTTGGCCAAGGAAAATTTAGAATTTCCTGGATGAGGACAAGGTAACCACAACCAGCTACTAGTTTCCCCGTGATGCATTCAAGACATTTGAAAAGAAAAAACAGTTATGAACACCCAGTTTGTTCCATCAACCGTGTAAAGGCCTAGAAAATGGCATGTAATTATCAATTGACCAAGTCCAAAACCCTGCCCAGACTGCATTAAAATAACCCTGATTCCGTTCTCAAGGTTATTTTACAGTAAATTGGAAAAGCAGAAGCAAAGCAAAAGAAACAATCAAGAGTTGCAAATCAGCAGAAATCAAACTGAGCAAAGCGACGCATGTTAATTTTTTATTTAAAATGGGATTCACCAGTTTTCAGATTGAAGGTTTTAATTTGAGTACATAATCTAGAAATAAAATACCTATGCCTAATACTTCCTTTTCACATGTGCATATCAAATGAAGATTAAAAATCTTAATTCAGAAGTACTATTTAAAGAACACTGATACAATGTTAAAACTGGGAAGTTGTAACAAAATAAACATCTTTCAGGAACTATTTTCTATCTAGTCATCCTCTGACTTGTGGCTAGCTGAAACCTATTTTTATATCCGTTTTTCAAGAACCTACTGCTTGTATATCATGAGTTTGTTTCCCAATGCAGCCTTCCTTAAGAATTAGACATTTACTATTTAAATCATCTTTCACTATTTTGCATATACATTTGTGGGCTTTGTAAAATTTTAGAAAACTTTGCAAAACCATTTGTAACTGCTTAGATGTAAGCATTCCAGGTTGTTCTCACTAAAATAGCCAAACCACCACAAGTGTCACACTCAGTACTTGTCTGAATTCTTAAAGTCCTCTAGGAATCAAAAGATCAATACAGCCTAACAGCCTTCCCTACAGATTTGTGTTGAATTAGTATTGCCTAAGGACATATTGTAGCCAAAAGTAAGTGTATTCAATGCTAGCCCCAAGTCACCACTCCTACTTCAACTAAATGGCTTAACACAGCACATTACTACACGCTTCCTCTCGCAAAAATGTTATCGGCCAATAGAAAAATCTGGGATACGCCAAAGAAAGGGTCTTAAAATTGGAATCGCTAAAACCGTTTCCATTCATTCATCAATTTCGACAGTGAAATTGAATTTGGCAGCTTATCCAAGATGTTTTAAAAAAATAAATGTTATGACATGAACTTAAACTAGATGTTTAAACTTTACAGAACACATCTCACTGACAACTAGAAGCAGCTAAACCAGAAAGAATCTCACGTGAGCAAAACGGATCAGTTTAATTCATTTAATTCTCTATGCAACAGAAAGCAGAACTACAACACCTGGAGAGTCACGCGTCAGTCCTTCCCCCTTTTACAAACGTTCATGTCGTGGGCACTGGGCATTGCCCTGCACAGGAGGTGCTGTGCTAGATGCTTGGTCTGGGAACCCAGGTACTGCCCGACCAATTATCTAGCAGCAGGAAAGACGTGGCAGGGCGATTTTGGACTTTACTAAAACAGCAAGATCTACCTGCAGCTACAGCGAAGTACACCACTAACCCTTTGGCCAAACTCCTCTAGGTCTAGATCAGCTGGCTGGTTAGGGACCTCACAGTCTCCAGTCCAGCATCTGCCTCGCCTCCTGTCCTGCCTGAGGGGGGTCTTTCGCTCTTCCGGTCTGTGCGGTATAGCGCTATATGTAGCTGGAGCAGGACTATCCTGCCTGGACCTCTCTGGAACCCTCTGCTCCCACTCGGAGACGCAGGAGGCTACAGAAACACTGCTGAACGGGGAGGAGGAGGAGGACGACGGGCCCTGCCTGACGAGGTCAGCGTACGACCCAGGCGCCTGGCTGTACAGGGGAAGCTGAGGAATGCAATGAGAAGACTGCAGAAAACACCAAGTTAGTACACAAGACAACGTGAAAATCTGCACACGGTCTCCAAGAGGCCAGGACAAAGAGGAAGACTAAGCTCCAAGAGCAAAAGTTTGAATAAAAAGATCACAACATGCACTTGCATTTACAGTAAACAATTACACCACGGGGAAAAATGCGTATAGTTATACAGCATATTAAAGAAAGTGCCACAAACTGTAGTCAAGTAGAAAGCTTTCTGCCTCTTACTATGACTGGTTATAAGTCTCCAAGTGACAGATTTTGCAACTAACAACACGAGTCAGTCAATGCAAGAACCATTAGTGGCCCTTCTGGGCAAAGGCCACGCTCGAGAACAGTAATTCGGTGTAACCTACAGGCACAGGCAAGGGCGACACCGATCTCTGGGGCACCCGGTCCTTCTCGCGGGATGGCCGCTCAGGCTTCTCCGGCCTCTCGGGCTTCTCCGGCCTCTCACCCTTGCCCTCCGTCACAATGGCTTTCAGCTGTTTCAGCTTCTCATCCTTCACCCACAGCTTGTTCTGCATCTCCATCTGTTTCGCAGCAACGCGTCGTTCCTGGGACAGACGGACAGCAAGGGCAATGGACAGTAAGTGGCAGTCATGTCCCCACGAGCCCCTGGATGACAGCTGTCAATGTGGCCAGGTCCCCCCCCCCCAGAAAAACATCTCAACCAGATAAAGTATACTGCAATCTCAAGATTAATAAGGCTCATCTCATAAATTACACATCTTTTTTGAAATGACGGCCTGCAGCAGAAGCGGTATTGCTTTTATTCAGAGCACCGTGCGACTGACTCATTGCAGGCGGGATCGGCCATGCGGTCAGCGTAGGCGCTCAAACGCCGAGCCCTGCGGCCCCCGGGGACACTTACACACTCCTTCTCCCACTTCATCTTAGTCTCCGACACCACGCCATGCATGCGGGCCTCCATGCGGCGTTTATCCGACAGCTCCCTCTGTAGCTTCTGATCCCGGTTTTCCAACTCCTGCTGCAAGGTACGCTTGTCTTCCTCGTAGATATTGGTAGTTTTCTGCAAAATGTCAATCTTCACACACGAACAAAGCAGTCAGTGTTTTAGATTCTTGTGACCAGTGGGATAATGTGGGGATTGTCTTGTGTGCTGTCCACTGGCTCTGTATCAAATACACCTGGGAGAGGCAGACTGCCGGTGAGGAATCTCCCAGTTGGCAATTGTGAGTGATGAAGCTTGGGAAAAAAGTAATCCTTCTCTAGATCACAGAGAAAAATAAAACTCATCTGGGCTGAGGAGCTGTTGGTGGGTTCAGATTTGAGCAACGTAGCAGCTGCGTGAGTTCTAATATAGGGCATTAAATTAGAAAAGCAGGTCTAATTTAGCTAATTACTGCAGAGGGCGAGAAAGACGCATTCCCTGTCTTTGTGGGCCCTCTAGTGGGGACTAGCGGAGTCACAGGATGAGGGATAATGGCCGTGTCACACAAGAGGACAGCGAATGGAGCGCAAAGGGGAATTCCAGCTGCTCTCCCAGTTCAGGGATAAACAGAAAACAATACCTTATATTCCAGGGTTTTGCATTTCTTCTCCAAACGATCGATCTCCGTCTTGTGGGTCACGAGAAGCCTGTCTTTCTCTCCCAGCTTCCCCCTCTGCTCGTGGATGAAGTTCTCCTTTGCCGTAAGGGTGCTGTCAAACTCTTGGAGCATGGCTTTGAGGCTGTCGGCTGCAAAATGCAAACGAACCTTTCCGTAAAAAAAAGGAATGAAAAAAATGCATGAACACAAATGCGCAAGATGGGGGGTGAGGGGGGATAATTCATACCAGCTTTATTGTACTCCTCGGTTATCATCTGTCTTATCCGGTGCCTCTTCTCCAGAACCGCAATGAGCCTGGGCAGGGTCTGGTCATCGCTGGGATCAGTAAGCTCGCTGGGTGGCAGAGGAGGGAAGCTCTGCAGAAGCAGCTCTATGACAGACGGGTTATCTGCAGCAAGAACAAAACACATTTCCGATAGTTGCCTACACTTAGATTGCACACTTGCATGCAGAGACTGGAACGTCCTTCAAAACCAGACAGTTCCCCAGCGTCGGCGTGGGCACGGCAGGTCTTCCGCAACGCGCCGCGGCTGCCCTCTCCCTGGCCGTTGGCGGTTTACCTCCGTTGACCGGCCCACCCCGCTCCTCCAGCCGGCGGCTCAGCTCCTCCTTGAAGGCCTGGTTCCTCTGCCGGCGCCCCGCGGTGAAGCCGCAGATGGGCCGGTCCACTGGCCGCGCCACCTCCACTTCCTGCGTCATCTCCGCAAACCGCATCACCAGCTGCGCGGAGGGAGGAGCCAGGAGGCAATGGATTGTAAGAGATGCAGCCATGATGGATCATGGTCTGCCCGTGCCCAAGATCGGGTCTCTAGCGCAGATTCATCTGCGGCTTTAAGTGGTACATTAAGCAGCCGCACTGAAATTCCCACTCCTACAAATTGAGCCCAGACCATCTCTATATTCATAGAAATATTACAGGATACTTCCACTTCAAGAAATAGACCTACATGTTGTGTAGCCTGGTCCACTCAAGCAGTATAGATATAGGGGAAAGCATGGTTTTCTCCAGTAGAAAATTTTGTAAATCAAAGTACATTTTCTACACAAATAAAGTACCTTACCATAGTTTCTTCATAATCATCAGCTTTAGGATTGATGCAAACGATCATTCTCACTTTGCCTTCGCCATCAAAGTAGTTTTTAAAGAGATGAGTTACTTTGGAATCTCTGTATGGCACCATCTAAGGAAAAAAAAAAAGATGGATTTTCTCTGGTTAAAATCCTGCTGCTGGCATTTGCAAGTACTTCATAAAGAGTTAGGATAAACAAATGCAAAAACCAGCTTCTACTGTACATTCATTGGATAAAATGTTGGTACAATACTGACATTAAGGGCTTTTGAAGACATTCAAATATTAAGCGTGCTTGGTTTGAATAAATGTTGAATCGATCATTCATGATTGTGATAGTCATTCAAATTTCTGTTACATCAGATAAACATGTTGGCGAGATGATTGGGCACAGGTGATGAGGCGATTTAACCACATACTCTGCTCATCTGCAACTTTCACACCAGACCCTTTATCAAGAAGAAATCTACCTAGATAGTGTCTATTCAAAGTCACTGTATGAGATAGAACAACATGGTCACAGGCCTGATAATTGTATAATGCTACAATTCTTTTGATGTTCAGACAAAAGAAGAGTCCACGAGTGAGTTTTGGAAAACATCAAGTCAGTCTGTTGGACAATAAGGATCATGTAGGGTTATGTGGAGCCTAAACCACATGCAAGTTAACCATTTATACCCTCATTAATTACCAACATGTTAACACTGGTTATAGGAAGTTATAATGGAGACTTAAGAGACCACAATCCAATACAAAATAATCACCAACCTTATTTGTTCCACACATCTGATTTTCTCTTAAAACCTCTATACACGTCCTAAGGGTCATCAAGGACTGGTTGATGTTCCCTGCAACCAAGAAAAAGTATCATCCTAGCCATCCTGAAAAGAAGGAATCGAGACACTGCGAATGGGAAAAGCCGGGACTCGGACACCGGGCTGTCAGAAATGCGATGACAATCCTCCCACCCCACCCTTCTGCCAGGGCCGGCCCAGAAGCCCACGCTCACCTGCTTCGCGCAGACGGCTGCCCTCGGCCCTGGTGCGGCTGGTCCTCTCACTCCCAGCGAGGTCCACCAGGCAGAGCTGGCTCACCGACACCTGGCTCTTATCCTGGGACAAAACAGCACGGTCAGGGCCAGCAGACTGGGGCACTTCACCAGGAGAGACTGAGCACTGCCTGCAGTTGGAGCTCATTACCCTGGCTGTGCTACAGCCCTGAAGGATTTATCTTTTAACGAGCAACGTCATCACAAAAAGAAGTTACTTAACCGACTCAAATCAAAGTGAGATTGCCCCTACACATCCACGAAAGGGGAAGCAATGGAGCTGCAGATCTGTGCACAGGGGGCCTCGGGCCAGGAGTTTACCTGCAGGACGTTGTCGCCGTCGGCATCCAGGGGCGCCTGGGCCAGCTTGATGATGAACACGCTGTGCGAGCGGCTGGACTCGCGGTTCAGCTGCGTGTTGGCGATGCGCCGCTTCTTCTGACCTGCGCGGAGGGAAGGGCAGAGTTCCGTCACGCTGGACACGTCGCAAAGACGGACAAAGAATTCCACAGCGGATAAGCCATCAGCTTACCTCGCCAGAACACCTCGAACGCTTCCTCCGTTGATTTAACTTCCAATTCGGTGCACCCAGCCACATACATATTGTGGTTTTGATCTTCACGTAGGATTTTAGATTGCGGTGGTCTGATGAAAGGGGAAAAAAGCATAAGTAAGGTTTGTGCTAACATTTGGGGTCATCCTTAACTAGGAATAAAGTTTACACTAAAAAGTGAAGAAAGGGCACAGATGAGCCTTCAATATTACAAGTTATATGGGTCACAAGCAAACATGCGCTCATTTCCAGCCTGAAGTGTTATTGTATTAGCGTATGGGAGGGGGTCACTGTCAGACATCTTCCAGCTACACAACTATACAAGAGCTAAGTCAGCTTTGCAATCTCAAGTCTTTCTAAGCTTTCCAAGCTCAAGCACCTCAAATCAGAAGCACACAGCAGAGATTACAGCAGAGCGCACAAACTAACAGATTGCAGAAACAGCTCTTGCCATCTACAGCCACAAGAGACGCCCACACTGGCCACGTACATGAACTCAGTGCTCCGCAGAGGCGTGCCTCCACCATTCCACCTATTAAAGGAACAGGGCAAACATTATCCCCAGCTGGAACCAGTTCAGAACTCGGGGGCTTGATTGTTCAGCAGGTTCTTGAAATTGAATGTTCAAATTCAACAATGAAGGAGGACTTCAAGGAACTCCACAGTGCCACACCCCCCAGGACTGTTTATTGGTCACGTCCGGTTTAAGCATACAAAACAAAAAACGCAACAAACAACAAAACCTCTTTCAAAAAAAATAAAAGCATCACTAAGTTTCTTTCTAGGAATGCAGAGAACCTGACAGATAATTGGTCAAAGACAAAAATCCAGCATACTTTCAAGAATAAAAATCTGACATTCTGGTCAAACTGTGCACTGAACCCCACTAAAATGCAGTGCTCGTTAGCCACTAATCGGTATTCTCAAAATGTATATTGGCTACAATTCATTTAATCAGTCGTTTAGCAATGAAAATATCAAATCAACCTCCTATTACATTGGGAAATAAACATTGGGAAAAAACTTTACATTATGAACAATCTGTGCAGGTGTAGAAAATTAAGGACTTTTATTGCTACAATTGCTGAAGTAACCAATTAAAAATATTTAATTTTAAAGAATACCAATTAGCAGTTAGTTTCTAACATTAGTGGGGTATACATAAAGAGTTTGAGTACTCCGACTACAACGGCAGATTTCTATTCTTTCTTCAATAAAATTGACTTTCATATTGCAGTGCAGTGTACTGGACTCTATGCAGTGCCCACCAAAGGGATTTGGACAACTCAGAACTTATTTTTGTTTCACATTCATGAAATTGTGTATTTGAGATCATGAGATTAACTTGAATGAAAGCTACAGTAGATGTTTTATTTAGTTCATTCCATGCACTCATACACATTAGAACAGTGATCAACTCAGTGATTGGACATAGACTAGTCTTGGGACACTATTTCCAAGTAACATTTCAGAGTGTAAAATTTGGATATGCAAATCAAATATGCTTTGGCCACTAACTACATCTATTTTGCGACCTATTGAGCTCACCAAACATCTAATCATTTTGGCTGCAGCAAACCACCAGCGTTCTTGCCTGTGACTACACTTTGATTTTCAGTATGTAAAATCAATACGCATTAAGATTTAAATATGGAAATGGACTTGCTTGGGAGATTTAGGTCACGGACTTGATGCATTAGGAAACACTGCTCTCAATACGGAAGCAGTTTCTCCAACGCAAGCAGACAATGTGTCTGTGAATATCAAAATGCCCTCTGCTGCTGCCTTCATTAAAGATGAGGGAGTCAGCACCAGAGGTGAACCATGCATGACAAGGCCATGACAAGACTAAGGACATCCTGAAGCCAGCGGAAGATGACCCAGGACAGTTTTAGAACAGTTTTATGGCCAGATGAGACCAAGATTAACCTTTCTACTGCTCTGCTAAAGATGCAAGAGTGGGGAAAGAAACTGCAGATGCTCCATAGATCACCACCTCACCCGTGAAGTATGGTGGAGGTAATGTCATGGCCTGGGCAGGCATGACTGACAGTGAAACTGGCTCATTCATCTGTGTTCACAATGGACCTCATGATGGCAGCCACAGAAAGAATTCTGAAGTTCACAGAAATAGGACAACTGCTCAACACAGAAAACAATGCTTTTATATTTCTTGGGTGGCACTACGTTTCCCCCCTTTTAAAATCCAGAACTGCCAGCTACATTAAAGTACAGTCCACTTTTGAACTTACTTTGGCTTAATGGGATCAAATGGAGCTTCTTCCAAGAGGTCGTAGATGTAGTTGTTATAGATTTCGATGTAAGAAACAAAAACGCTGTAGCTACTGTCATCGTCGACAGCCTCCGCCTTGCAGGCCTCTTCAGGAGCGATCATATCTGCAAACTCGGGGTCCAGCTTTTGCCTGGAATACAGATCAATTTAATTAAGCAGGCAAGCAAGTGCATAACAAAAAGTTCAAATCCCTGGCTGCTCCAGAAAATACTTCACAGAGGAATGCAATGTTAGCAGTCAAAGAGTACTACAGTAGTTGTTCTTAGGGTTTTCTGGAGAAGAAGGGGGGAGTTTCCTGCAAGTCTTTTCCCAGTGGCGTTTGAAATACAGCCGACATGGTCAGTGGCCCCGTCCACTGCTGCCACCTTCTACGAGACTTACTTAGAGGAAGGCGTCTTGAGAGACTGCTGCGACTCTCTCTTTTGCCTTTCCAGCAGGGCATCAACTTGATTCTGTATCTCCATCCCATTCTTGTCGTCCGTCTTGAACACCTGGAGATGGATGTTGCAGGAAAAAAAAAAAGCTTAGAACATCAACACTAAATGAAGGACCAGTTCAGGCAACGAGGACAGAAGGGGGGGGGCAACTCTTACATATCTCTTGGCCTGGTAAGGGCCTATACTATTGAAGATCATATCCAGAGAACGAGGAAGGAGCCCTCCCTGGCCAGGAGAGCCAGTCATGGTATACGTTTTCCCACTTCCTGTGACACCATAGGTGAAAAGCAAACCTATGGGGACAGAAGGAGAGCTCATTTAACTCTAGTGCAAAGAAAGGCTGTCATTTATCTTTGAAACATCAGCAATACATCATTCTCCAACCCATATGATGTCTCTGGATCAACACATTTAAAGGCACCAGGGATGAAACCCAGATAAACTTAAAAAAATTCCTTATACCACAATCACAGACACAATAACTAGGATAAGCCAGGTGACAAACTCTAAATTAAATGGTAGCTAAACTTACCATTTTTACCATGAATCAGATCATCTACAAGCGGTTTGGCCACATCCTCAAACAGCTCCATCTGGGACGTCTTTATGCCAAACACCTTCTTGAAGGAATACTGGGTCTTAACAGAAATGAAAAGCGAGAATTTGTTTGCTTAAATAAGAGCTTTGGGTTATATGAGCCAGCGAACACACACAGCAGACTGCTGCTCGGAAGAGTCATTGGAGCCACCCTTCAGACGCTCACTAGTCCTGCGGTTCTGCATTACCTCTTTGTACTCTCCATTCCTGTTGACCTTGATGCCATCAGGCAGGTGCAGCTGGATGGTGGTGCTGCTGATCACCTCGACGCAGCACTCCTGGTCATCCAAGCTCAGCGGGCGCACACGGCAGTACACCTGGGGAGAGGCAAGAGGAGCCGCAGTCGGACCAGCTCGCCCAGACGAGAGGGATTGGCGCTGGAGAGCAGGCAACCCCTTCGCTTCAAAACACCTCTATACGTGCTTTCAGTGTGGCGGTAAAATACTAACAGTTATCACAACACGAGTCTCAATCGCAGCTTTCATACCAAGCCTAATCCCTCTGACCCCCGAGAGGATTAGAGGCTCCTGTACCTCAGCAGCAGGAAGAAGAGATTTACTTACACCGACTGGGTCTTTCAGGGTGTTGTTGGATGGTTTCTTGGGGGCAGGCCTCCTGGGGGTCTTGCCCTTGCTGTGGGAAGGGAGGGAGAAATGAAAGTGGTCAGACTGAGGGACAAGAACTACGTCGACACACAAAGTCCCACAGAAAGCCACAACCGTAGAGAGACACCGAAATACTGTAACTATGATTATGAGCGCCACCGAAATACAGCTTCCACCGCAAGGACACGCCAGCCCTTTCAGTGAAGTCGTACTAAAGAGCTGTGGGAGTCTGAATAATAATAATAATAATAATGTAATGTTTCTTTATTAGCCCTATACAATTTCTTGCATTAGGAATTCGTCTTTGCGCATACCCCAGCTTTTCTCCATGGAGACACAGACACACAGACAGGGAGAGAAGCTTGGGGTCAGAGCGCAGGGTCTGCCATTGTACGGCGCCCCTACAAGCTGGCCAACAGCGTGGTTGACAACACGACCCCGGCAGCCTTCAGGAAACAACTGGTTGAAATCCTTGGATCAACTCTGGTCCTCACGGGCTGCTGTCCCCCAGGTCTCTACACATCCCCAGGTTCTCAAGAACAAGGAAAGGCCTCAGCTTGTCTCATTAAGAAAACTGAGCTCAATTAGGTAATGAAGGGCTGAGGTGGGAGGAAGCCCAGAAACCTTGTGTAACCCCAGGGTTATATTCGTGTTTCTCATGACAGAACTACAGCCATTCCAGACACCAGACAATGCCCGATAAAGCAAAGCGCTCTTCTCCTCCCCGCAGGAAACGGGTTTCACTTCGTTTTAGCATTCTGCCCCTGAATTGTAACCCCCAGAGCACCGCACCGCCTGCGTAATTGAAAAGTATTCTTCCCCCATTGCATACAAGAAATGAATGTCACTCTACTTCAAGTAAAGGTATTGATTTTGTCACGTCGTAATGATCTACCCACTCCGCATTTGACATTTACTATGCGAGACGCCCAATCATGAACATGCAATGTCAATAAAACATTAAACACGGAATCAGGCACTTAGAAGAGGAGACTAGTACAACTAACACAGGGCAGTCTCCGGTGAAGTAGAAGCCAAGGGAAATGTGGAATAACGGATTTATATAGTTCATCTTTTGAGCTTAGTTGACCCCCATCTAGAATGCAGTTTTTAAACGCCTCTCTAGGCAGGATACCGAGTCACGGACATATTGGACATCACAATATTTACTCAATTTTAGGATTATTCGGCCTTCTTAAATTTCACTTCTCCAATCTGACTTACGCAGCACAGTCTTTTATTATCTTAATTCCTTGCAGAAGCGGAAGCATCGAGCTATAAAAAGCACCTATTTGCTTTGCAGCTGTATAAAGCATTTACAGAACCTCTAGAGCAGTTATCTCCCTGTAGAAAAAAAAAGTACGAAATAGTTCACATAAGAGGTCAGACTTTTACTCGGTAACCAATACAATTAAATATTATATGCTTCTTCGCGGTATATGCAAAGCTTTACTTCCGTAATCCCGAGAAACAAACTGTATTTAGTAACAGTCTGTTCAGCTACATGTAACATTAAGACAATGCGAGGCCCACACATAACTCCGGCGTCAAATGTTTTTATTTAAAAACGACTCGTCGGCAAACCCGCCCAATTGCTAAACTACTAAGACAAAAGACCTTTCTTTATCCCTCTGTGCTCAAATAAGATACATATATATTTCGGTTTTATACTCACACTGGCCTGCTGAACATGCTTAATTATTTTTGTTTTTATTTGATTCAACAGCTCCAGCCCCGTCTCTCTCACTGTTTCCCCTTGTCTCAATTTGAACTTTCCCTCCGCCTCAGGTTTTTTAAATCCCACCAATCAGAAAACAGAAAGCTCGGAGAGCTAGAGACCCCAGGAACCAATCCCAGAGCGGCTGGGGTATCGCGAGCAGAGGAAGTCCCGCCCATACTGTATAGTAATTGGCTATTGTAGTTACCAATCGCTTGGGTGAACTGACGACTGCCCTAAATATGCTGTAATAGGTAGAGGTAGACAATCTAAGCAAGTTCCACAACAGGTTTCTGTTTTTCGTCAGTAATTTATATGGAAAGCACAGTGTAGTAGCGCTTACTGCTCTAGCTTCACATATATTCCTGAGTTTAGTTCTTCAATGAGGTGCCTTATGTGTGTGCATTTTACAGATAACTTTTCAGATCGCCTCTAAATACCCTGCAGTATTTTTAAGTGAACGACGTTTACAGAGGTAAAATACATCCAAAGTATGTATTTGACGCTTTTATAAGCAGAACATTCTTGCAATTAAAGGTACAATGAATTGGTTAGCACTGTAATGCAACTAACAATTCAGTGTTAAGTTTTGTGGGAAGTCACGAATTTCCAAATTAAGTGTCTTGGCATCGATAATAGAATACTGATTTCGTGGGTTTCAAACAAGTTTAAAAGTATCATGAAGGATAAAACAAGCTCTTCAGAATTGAATAGTTTAATACCTTCGCAGTTTTTATTCTCATGAAGCCTCACTCGATATTACCCTTGGGGCGATGCATTTACTCCAACCCCTGAAACCCATACGTGCGTGCACGTTCTTCTGGTATGTTATGCTCAAGTCCGCTGAATATTTAATTTTTAGGCAATATTTAGCCGAGGTAAACTCCAGTGACCCCGTCTGCCGAGTGCAAGCGCTCTGTTACAGTTTAGCTCGTACCCTTAACATTTTAAAGACAATCAATATCCATAAACATATCAGCCTCC